GGCAAACCAGGAAGGTCAGTCACCCTCATTACTTCAAATTCTTCCACCTTTGTCACATATTTTTGTGACCCTGAGAAAAAACATAACTTGTAACTTGCAGTCTTCACCTATAAAATTGGAATAAAAATATTTGTTGCATAGAGGTTTTTGTTTCTTTTTTTTTAAAGGACTTACTAGGAAACTATCCAACTCAGGTTTGGCTCGTAGAGAACTAGGTCAATGTGAATTCTTCCTTTCTCCCTCACCTTCCTTTCCAACACTACTGTGACATAGAGCAGACATTGTTCTCCTTATTTTATCGATAAGAAACTTTGGACACTGATGCTTTAGTTAACTTGCTCAAGGCAACAGAGCTGTAAATGGTAAAATCAGGACTTGAGGCAGCCCTGATAGAAATCAGAAGGTGCTGTATTCCATGCTTTCTAAACTATACTCGGTTCAATTTCAAGTGTCAACGAATATTTGGGAAGTGGCCATTCATAGGAAATTTTGTAACACTTTCATAATGCTAAAGCCTAGTACTGCCTTTTTGAATGGCATTTCTTTTTCTATCTTCACACCGTGCAGTTAACATATGTTTCAGAACAAGTGCTATCATTATGAAGATCCATAAAATTTTATATTATAGCCCATTTATCCTCTTTGAATATTCATTAAATTTGAAATGTATATAGAACTCCTTATCATCTCCTTTTTTTTTTTTTTTTTTGGCTGTAAGACTACCCTTTCAGGTTTCAGTGATTATAGTAATGCATTATTGAATAATATCTGATCACTATTGGGCATAACAAACATGTTTAAAATGCATATTTTATTTTATTTTTGAAAAATGTCTCAATAAAGATACATTTGAAATGGAATAAAAAGCACATTTGGAAAATGGACCATAAAAACGTTTTCCCAGATTTCTTCTTCACGTGTGGATAGGAGTGATTGTGATATAGCATCACAGAACATAATGGTCCCCAGTAAGATATAAATTTCCAGCTCAGCTGAGGGATTTCACAGAACATAAACATCAGGGTGGAGGTGATGCATTTGTTTTCAAAGAAGGAGATCTTACATCGCCATCACGTTCCCTTCAAATGAATTTACATCTAGTTTAGTGAATGGTAGAATAAAACTGAAATATTTAACTGTCCAATCAAAAACGTGATATATTTGTTGAGAAAAATAAATGAGCCACATATGCAGAACATAAACAAGAAGGAGGTACGGATACAGAAGCTGTTGATTTTCTCTCAGCCCCGAATTGTGTCTATGATTGTGACTTTTAGTTTACAGTGACAATAGGCTTGAGACCTGATTAGATTTGAACATTTGAAAAAGGTTGGAAGGATTTTTCTTCTTAGTGAGCTCATGCCCTGAGTCATAATGATAACACACTGCGTGGACTTAAATACTTTTAGTTCGTTCAGCCTCATCTTATTTTTTAATGTAGTTCACCAACATGTATAGACCTCTGAAACATTTAGCAGATGGCTTTATAGATTTCTCCTAGTAATGTGGGCAGGGTAACTGAAGGAAGAGTCTGCCTTTTAACTATGATCATTACTCTCAAATACAAACTGCAGTACAGGTTTCTGTTTAGCAGTGGATGGATTGCTGTATAAGAAAACAAACTAATTGTTTTTTTTTCCTCTAGGAGAATAGAGACAGTCATATAAGTGAGGCAGGAAAAAGCTGATGTGATTTCTCCATTTCTCCAAGAAGTCTTTTCCTAAGTAGATATGACTTAAAACAATGCTTTTGATATAATACAGTTTTTTTTTAAAGGGTACATGGTTATTGTAGAATACTTGGAAAAGAAATATCATGTATGTTTCCTCCCTGTTATTCTAATCATTTTGTTTATTTTTCTTTCCTTCTTTTGTTGAAGGGATATAACCATTGTTTATTACTCTCACTTTTTGTTGAAAAAACTTTAGTTGTAATACTGTTTTTCACTTATTTTATAGCTAACATTATTTGTATTGTTACAAGTTGTTATTAGTAGAACTTTTTAATGGCTACATAATACTTCCACAACGAAGAAAGCATAGTGTATTTTTTTTTAAGAATTCTTTTTGACGTGGACCATTTTTAAAGTCTTTACTGAATTTGTTACAATATTGCTTTTGTTTAATGGTTTGGTTTTTTTGGCTGCAAATCATGTGGGATATTAGCTCCTCGACCAGGGATCGAACCCACACCCCCTGCACTGGAAGGAGAAGTCTTAACCACTGAACTGTCAGGGAAGTCGCAGAAAGCATGGTTTTTAAACATTCCTTTACACTCAGAAATCTAGGTTCCTTCTAATTTTTGCATATTACAAGTGACACTGAAATGAATAGCTTGTGTGAAAATTCTCTGTATTTGAGAATATTTTCTCAGGATAAGTTCCCAGTAATTGAAAATTACATTTTCAATCCAAGAATATAAGTTGCCTAAATGGATATATAACAGTATATTTTGCTAATATCTTGCATGTACAGTTTGAAGGAAGAGGTTGCAGATTTTGGAAAAAATAGTGATGGGTTTTATTTAGATCCATCTAGTAGAGGTATTTCCAGGAAACTTAACTGCGGTCATCCAGGAGATAATCTAGATTTGTCAAGAAGGACTCACGAATAGGCCTGCAGTGACGTTGCTTAAGAAAATTTAGCAGTAAATGTGAATATCTTATCACGGTTAACAGCATCAATCACAGTTCTGCGGGCTCAAAATCATTTTCTTTTTCTTCTTTCTTCTTACCAAATTTCCCATCAAATTTGACTCATTCATGGGATAAAATGAAACTGAGTCAACTAAACTATTTCATGCGAAGACTAAGTGATAACTTCACATTTTACCATTTTTAGCATTAAAAACTCAGAACAATTTCCGGATGTGAGGAGAGGATAATTCATACCACATAAATTACTTTCTCATTTGCTTTATTGTACCATCTCTCATATTAAAAATAAACAACACAGGCATCTATCCACCACTGGACCGACTTATAGCACTCTGATGGTATTTTGCAATTATCTGTTTATGTATCTTTTCACTGAACTGGGAGGCAATGTGAGTCCCATAAAGATAGAATCAGTATCAAGATCTCTGGCCTTCCTTCCCTCCCTCCTTCCTTCCTTCCTTCCTTCCCTGTTTGTTCCTTCCTATTAATTCTCTTCGGTGTTCCCAGCTGTGCCCTGGGCTCTGAGAATTCAGTGGTGACATAAGTTTTCTGCTTCCCTAGAGTAACTGTTCTAGTGGGGGGAGAGCTGAAGTAGACAAAGTATGCATGAAGAAGATACTCAGCTGCTGGCAGAGACTATGAAGGGGATGAACAAGGTGCCATGCAGGAGAGTGACCGGGTGGGCTGGGCAGGAAGGACACTGCTGAGGAAGTCATGTTTGAGTGAATGGATGCAATTTAAAGCCATGGACTGAATGAGATCACTTCGAGAGAGCAAGGAGGGCGATGTGAAATGGAAAATTTAGAAAATCTGTCTTAACAAACGTTCTTGTGAAGGAAATTGGAAGGAGATATGGACCTAAAAAGCAGTTATTATATCTATCGATATCTGTCTATCTAATCTGTCTATTATCTATCTATCATCATCATCCACCTATCTATCAAATCTACCTACCTACCTATTGTTTTCTTCTTTTACTTGTGGTAGGAGATACTGGAGCAGTAGAATTGCTAATAGAGGTGATCCAAGAGAGAAAAAAGGCTGATGCGGGATATTGAGAGTATGAGTGCAGAAAAAAATGTCCTCGGGGCATGAGGGGTGGAGTCAGTGTGAGGCTGTAGTGGCTGTCCTGAAGAAAGGGAGTGGCCACCTCACGCGATGCCAGCTCAGGAGGGAGACCGAGGGAAGGTGGAGCTTGGTAGTTTTCGGTGGAAAGGTCAGCTGGTTCTGTCTGTTGGCTTCTATTTTCTTGGCGACCGGGAAGGCAGGGGAGTCAGCAGGAGAGAAAGAGAAATGTATAGAAGTGTATAGAGAAGATAAAAAGAAGGTATAGAATAGTCACTTTTGAGAGTGGAAGAACCAAGTTACTGAAGAAAGAGGAGGATTATTTGGAAACGTTGAGGTCCTGTTTTGGATCTGTGGTCAAAAATTTTAGTGTCACAAAATGAGTATGATATGGCATTTTCCCCCCAGCTTCACTGTACTCCTGTTACCTAAAGACTGAAAAATACTGAATAACAGAAATTTCCTCAGCAGTAATTAAAGCTTTTATGTTACAATGTGATTTATCATTATTGACAGCAGCATCAAACATAGATAAATGGCAGTATATACACATGCCATAATAATACTTATCCAGCCCCTGACCATGCCTAGTACACATGTATTGATAGTAGTTTTTTTCTGCTAGGCCCCAGGCTCCTAAAATAGTCCTGCTGCCCCACTGGGATCTGAATACCATAAGCTTGTGACCAGTATTATCATAGATTATTGAAGCCTGAGGGGACCTAGAAATCATGAAGTTTGGTTGTTCTTCTAACTGAGTATCGTAATCACCTAGGAGAGTTTAAAAACAAACACTCAAAAGCAGATCTATATGAACATCACTAGGGTGGAATTAGAGATTAAGGATCCCCAAAATGATCAGAATTCTTTCCATATTGCCAGGTGAATCTCTCATTAGACAGTAGAGAAATATTGATTTGTTAATTTCATAATTTCCCATATCACCAGGTCAGGCCATAAAGTGATGCTCTAATGAGAAACTAGTTAGAAAAACAAAAACAAAAGTGAAAACATCCACACAATTATCATGAAAAGTCTCACCTGAAATAGATGAGATGTTAATATAATTGAAAATGTTTAGAATCTAAGAGACAGTCCATAGTTCCAATATTCCATACTACTCCTCTTACAGTCTTAGATTTCTAGAGATAGAAATTGTGCCTAAATTCTTGGACCCTGATATGGTATGTATGGTGGGCAACTGGAATCTTGATTGCCAGTGGACAGTGAGCCTCTGAATTTTCTCCCATTCTTATGAAATGTGTGTGGTACTTTTCAGTATACTTCTGCTCTGACCTATGACGCCGTTCAAGTGATGACCGAAGCTTTTCGAAACCTACGGAAGCAGAGAATTGAAATCTCCCGAAGGGGGAATGCAGGAGACTGTCTGGCAAACCCTGCTGTGCCCTGGGGACAAGGGGTAGAAATAGAAAGGGCCCTCAAACAGGTCAGTCACTGAAAATAATTGTAATGTGACTTAACGATGGCCACTATTTTTTCCTGC